GTCATTCATCAGCCTGAGTTACAAGATCCAATACTTTTCTGATGGGTATTGCGAGGGGTTGCAGCATGGCACAAAACAGCATTGAGGAGAGTGATACCCCGCTGCTCTACTACAGACTGTTCAAACAGAACAGAGAGAGAAGCCAACCACAGTGTAAAGGTATGAGTTCTGCAGAAACTTTCAAAGCCTTCGGGGAAATACTCTACTTTCTTGCCATATCCTCCTGTTGTTTCTGAAAACAAAAATAAGTTTTAAGACATTAAGTCATCCTCATCTTCACATCAGCATGTTCTGGCCATCACCAAGCTCTGACAGCTTTAAAGAGCAGAGCAACAGAAAAGTGGAAAGAAAGGTGACTTTCCATATAATCCCATTGCTCTGTTCTTTGTGTTTCTTCAGTTTTGCTCTTCTACCTCTGCCTGCTGGGAAACAGCAATTTCCCTGTGCATAGCAGAGGTACTCCCAGAGGCTATCAGAGACCCAGGTGCACCCAGCACCCTGCCTTCCAGCCTGGGCAGCCAGGGAATATCAGCCTTGCTGATGGGGGGATCTTGATGGTGAAGTGAGAAGAAAATTCAAGCCAGAAACCTATAACGTCACTCCACAATGAAAGACTGACTATGCTGGGATACCTGTCTCATTCATCTCTATCTGTAACCCTCTCTACTGCATTTGTTCTGCCATTTGATGGCAAGACTGACATCAAATGGAAGGTCCAGAACAATCACCGCCATCTGCAGCTGAATAGGTTTGTTGTCAGACAACCTATCACCTTTACAAGGGTGATGCTGCTGCTTCTTGTAGCATAAGATTTCAGAGTCTCCTTAAAGCTTCACATCACCACACCTCAGTTCAGATAGTTATGGTAGTAGGAAGCTGAGATGCTCTAGCAAGGAGCTGTTTCCTTCTATCACCATTATTCAGATTGCTAGCATCTGCTGACACCACCCAAAATCATAGAATCACAGAATCACAGGCTTAGTTTGGAAGGGATGTTAATCATCATCCAGTTCCAACCCCTGATGAGACGGTGCTTTCTCACTCGTAGGTCATAGAACTGTAGAATGGTCCTCAGGCTTCATTTGGGGCTGGCACTTCTCACCAATCTCACAGGGCCATGCACCTACTCAAATGAGAATAGGGCTGTTACCTGAGGAATACTCACAACTCCTGTTCCTGAGAATGCACAGGACTCAACTTGTGACCCCATGGCTAGAAAGAATGCACTGCAAAGGCTTTGTGCTTACGAGATAAAGGTTGCAAAATGTGCATGGGATACACCTGCTGTCTTTGCTTGAGCTCTAAGCCCTGCCTGCCCTCTTCATGTACCTTAGGAACTGCATAACCAGCTAAGCCCAGTTCTTCCGGGGCAGTTTCTCCCTCCCATCTCCCCATGCAGCTGTTGAAGCTAAATTACTCACTATAGAGGCTGACACAAAGGCAGGGGCTCTGGCTGGATGAGACTTCAAGCAATATGAATTTAAGTGGAGAAGAAGGAGTAGGAGCTGTGTTCTTATATTACAGCCGCCTCTGTTCCGAAGTTCTGAGCCAAAAGGATTGTCAAGATCAGAAACATTATCTGCATTCAAATCCCACTAGCATTATGGAAACAGAAAATACTGTAAGGGGATATTACAGATGCTTGATACTGTAATGAGCTGGGGGCAACCAAGCTGCGTGCCTCTGGCATCCTCTAAATGTTGCTGCCTGATGGAGTTCAAATGTAGATACGGGAATGCGTCCACACCTGGGCACTGCTCACACCCACCTGCCCCACTGAGAAGCAGCAAGCAGGAGTAACATCCAGCCCCACGGAGCTGGCATTTGAAAATGTGACTGTAGGCACAGGCAGCCTGCAAAGGTCTCCTACCTTCCAGCAGTGCCAGTGGAAAGAGCTGTACTGAGTCTCATGTTGCAGAAAGATTTTCCCACTGAGGACTGAAGAGCTCTGTGGATTGGCAGGGGCTGTACTGCTCACTCCTTATCTCATTATCCTGAAAGCTCCAACAAAGGAGAAAGGCTGCCAGCAGAGTGCACAGTTCCATCATTTGCACACGTACACAAACACACTCTCCTCTGTACACACACTGTCTACATGCACTTCCATCTATTCACATTCGTCTTCTGTCTCTCTTCAGAGAGACATCTCACATGCTTGTAGGAGAGACTGTGCAGTCTCCCTCTGAGAGGTCTCCAAAAGTCACCTGATGTGGGCCTGGCACCGTGCTCTGGCTGTCCCTGCTGTCCCTGCTGTGGCACAGCCATGCTGTGATTCTGGGTTTTTTTGCCTCCCAAGCCCTAATGAAGTACATGTTCCCACAGTCTTGCACAAAGAAGCTTCCATCCCATCCCTAATTTTCTAGACACGTCTACTCTTTTCCAGCAAGCTCCCATGCTCACACACTCAACCCTGAAGAGCTGTCTTGCATACACTGCATGTTCACATATGCTACTCCTGATCTAAGCCTCCACTTTTACAAACGTCTCTCACTCCTGCCCAGCCACTTGTCTGCAGCAGGTGTCACAGCCTCAGATGATGAAGGCACATTGCTGAACTTCTTCAAACACCCCCAAGAAACTCTAACCGTCTCCTGTACACACTAGTCAAGAGCTATAGGGCTCAAACTGCCTGGGCTGGATCTGGCACTTGACTAGCAGATGTAAGTAAGTAGCCTGTAAGGCTGCAGCTAGATGAAGTGTATTTACGTGGCTGGACAGTCTCAGCACAGCCAGAGCCTCAAACTTTGAAGGTCTTTGTGCTGGTCTACACAACTGCTTCAGTGCAGGGAGTCACACATCCCCTAAAGCTTTTGATCCCACAGGCTCCATCGCTTTTCCCAATAAAGGCACCTCCACGCAAGAGGTGCCCATCTCCTCCTGCCATGTTGAACATCAGCTGCTCTAACAAGGCCCAGGTGAGGGGACACCAGACTGATCAGACCAATGCTCTGAAGCTTTATCCATAGATGTGTGAATATAGACCATTGTTCTACTTTATTCAGGCAGTGTCTTCTGTAAGCAAGAGCCCTGACCTGCAGCCTCCCTTTTATTTCCAATTTTCGGTAGAGAGTGAGAGAAGATTAGCAAATCAATGCGATTCCTTTACAACCTACAGCACCTCCTAGAGACAGCAAGCCAGGTAGCTGCGGGGGGTTAAGGTAATTGGGTGTTCCTGTTCCCTGTTGACATTATGAAGGGGATATCTGGGTATGCACTGCTGTAGGCACCATCCTTTGGAAAAAGAAGCTGAGATGCTGTGATGGTGGAGAATGTCTTTCTAGGGGGGCTCTGGGACATGCATTTGGTGGCAGGGAGAAGACAACCCTGTCCTTCAAATAAGTGTCACCACTCTTAGCCTAAGTAAAGTCTCTGAGCCCATATCTTCAGGGTCCCTGCTGTTCTCCCCCAGAATTTTGAGACTTTTCCTCCATGATCCCTGCAATTGCCGGCCATCTGCAGGTGGAGACTATTTATAGCGGGGAGCCAAGGGGACGCATGGCCACGGACACAGTGGCGCTGGGTGACATTCAAACTGGCTCTGAGGTTGAGGGGGTGCTGAAATGGGCCCTGGAGGAGGGCAGTACCATAAATCAGCCCGCCATCTCTCTGGCTGCAGCCTTTCTGCTGCTCCCTCCAGTGAGTGGAGGTGGCCGTGCCCTAATAGGGACATCTCAGAGGCCTCCAACTCTTATTCCCTATCCCCAAATTCAGTAGGGTTTTGTGGATGGGAATGGGGCAGCAGCTGAGATGGGGTATGCTCCCTGTGGCAGGGTGCACTGGAAGGACAGCAAGGAGGCTGTCGGCATCAGAGGCATCTGTGGAGCAGGAGAAGAGGGATGAGGAGGGGGTGTTACAGCTGCTCAAGGGTCTCGAGATGGTGTTACCACTCCAGAGAGTGCCTGTGGATGAGGACGTTGCCTGCCTGCTTCCCAGGGCCGACACATGTCCATGGCGCCCGGGAGGAATTCGCAGGGTCCCCACCACAGGGCACTTGCAGCACGTCTCTCCTTTCCACAGATATCTATTTTCACAAATCAGGCAGGAACTTGATATCACCAAGAGGCCCCTTCATCAAAAATGGTGGGGATGGGGCAGCAGTTTCCAAAGCTGCAAGGTGACAAATACGAGCGTGGCTGGGATTAGCCCTGTTTCCTGAGGAAACAGGGCAGAAGAGAGGACTCAGAGCAGGGGAGCTGGCCAAAGCCAGGACAGGAGATGGGACTTGAGACACTTCAGAGCAGAAGAAATTGAATTGTGTGTTAGCTGTACCATGTTGTCTTAATGCTGCACTGTTACCCTCTGACTGGCCCACAGTTCAATACCAGGTGGGGCATTAAGCACCACTGGATTTGAATTTCCTTCCAGAGGGACAAGACGAGCAATAAAGGATTGATATAGCGAGATACAGGGAGAGCCCAGGACAGAAAGGAGACACAGTGATGGCCAGGAGCACTTCGTGGTGTAGCACTGCTATTTTCACAAAGCCTGGGTGCTTTTGCTACTCCATCATATGTAAGCAGTGATACTTTTGCTACCCTCAGTTTTCCAGCCACTGGTGCCTAGCACCAAGCACTCCCAGAATTAAAACATCTTCAGTACCTAGACAGTGTCATGATCCCCTGTACGATACCACAGATGCGTGAGGAAGGAGAGAGTTTTTGGTGTGCCAGAGGGTGTAAGTCTTTCTCCCAGCTGTTCCCGCTACTTCGGTGTCACCAATGTGGCTGGGAACACTCTCCTGATGCCCAAGTGTCAAAGCGCAGTTGGCAGCCCGTGGTATCACCAGCAAACCCAGCGCTGTGACACAGTGGGAAGAAATCCAACCCATATGACCTCCAGACAGCCTTATCTCAGCAAAGAGGCAACATGTGATGTGTGCCACCTATCGATGCTGCCTGGGAGCAAAATATGGGTCATCTGTGCCTCCTGTGCCATCCTGACAGGGCACAATGTCCTCCAGCGTTCCTGCTGCTCATGCTGGACTCTGGTTTTCCCCACAGCTGGCAGCTCAGGTCCTGGAGCCTAGGAGCATCGGCTTTGGGATGGTAGATTCCAAGAAGGATGCCAAACTCGCCAAAAAGCTAGGTAAGTCCCATGTTTGCTATCTCCAGAAAAGCTTGGATATTGTGGTGTGAAAACTCCATGCTCTTCCTGCGCAGAGACAGCTCTGATACAGTGATGCAGAACCAACACCTACTGAAGCAACAAGTGTCCACAGATGCCATCTGGTTCCTGGAAGGGTGATCCCCAGCCACTAATAGGAACTGCAGCCTTGCAATGGCAACCAGGTGCCACCCCTTCCTGAGTTGCTCCCCAGATATAAGAGGAATCCTCCATCCTCCTGTTTCCACCCCTTGAAACAGCTGCCCTCTAGTAGCTATGTAGTATTTTTTCATATTTCATCCCACAAAGAATATGGAAATACTACGGCATGCAAATACAATGGTACTTAAATACCACACTAGGCTTAACACCAGAGACTTATTTTCTTTCCTAAATTACAGGGTAAGTGTCACAGTATATATGAAAATAAAGCAGAGAGCTTCTGCTTCTCCAGAAAGCAATACATATCCCTGTCATCATGCACTGCAGGGCTCAGAGCCCCTCATCTTGGAGACTTCATCAAGATGGTGTGGCATCCAGTCCTCAGCTCAGTCATGTGCCAGCCTGCCTTCTGCACCATCTCCAACAAATGCTTCTAACTTTTCCCAAGGCAAGCTAAGCATATGAGAGTTTAAAATTTGCTTTGACTTCTTGGTCATTTTTTACATTCACAGAGTTAAGTCTCCTCTAGGCTCACGAGATCATTAGGATTGTTTCCGACTTGACCAACCAAGTCAACAGGCAACTGCATTTCCCCAGGAGGTGTTGCTAGAATAACCAGCAAGATGCTTCGATGTAAAAAGAGTGATGCTTTTAGTGACCTGTTGATCATATGATATTTCCTGTTTCCTTCTTTCAGGCTTGGTTGAAGAGGGAAGTCTCTATGTCTTTAAGGAGGATCGGTTGATTGAATTTGACGGGGAACTGGCCACAGACGTCTTGGTGGAATTCCTCTTGGATGTAAGCACAGATAAGTTCAGACAAAGCCTCTCAGAGAAGACTTTGCACTCACTTTGCAAAAAAAACACAGGTTATCTCTATTTGAAACTCCATCCCTGTTTGCTGCACACCAGCATGCAAATGATGTTGTTTGCCAACTTCCCAAATACTTGACCATGAGTTCCCAGAAAAGCCAGGACCTTTATATGCCATCAACCACTTATGTCTTAAATATATTTTTCTCTCTTTCCTGTTTATGGAATATTTGGTTGCTCAACCAGGGAGCAAGCAACAGTCGCACATAAATTCCAACTAAAACAGAGCTTTTCTGGCAGCCTGGTAGTGATGGAGTCCTCATTTATGTGGCTTAAACCCCAACAGCACAACAGCAGGAGGGAGATGTGCACAATGGAGTGTTACTGGTAAGGGGTGCAGCATAAGCCACCTCACGAGGCTCTGTTTGCCATGCTTTGTGGTGCACCTCGGATAGAACAAGTTCTGCAAAGAAAGGAGGAGAGTAAGGATTCCTGTTTGTATGTTTTCCACTCAAGGAAAAACACATAGAAAAGCAGGGAAATAAAAGCAAACACATCAGTGGTACCTGGACAGCCTGATCTCAAGCAAACCCAGTGTTTCTCTACTCCACTGCAGGTTATGCGGTGGCATGCCTGCATTTGTTTTCCTAGTGAAGCCACACGCAATTTACACCAGTATTGCTTGGCACATCAAAACAAAACAAATAAATAAATAAATCAGACCAAATCCTTCCCCCAGCAGTGTCTGGTTAAGAAATAAAGCTTGTACTAAAACTAGGATAAACTAGCTGATTGGTCTTCCAACTTTTTCATCAGAACTGTGATGTGTCTGGGGCCAAAGAACAGATTTAACCCACCATACACATGTAGACCAGCCAGGAAATTTCACTTCTAGACTTCCCACTGCTCCATTTTTTGGTCACACTCTAGCATGTTCTTTTAAATATTTTTCCTAAATATCTTAATAATGGTCTCTTCCAGCAAGCTACACTTAAAAACAGGTATGTCCCTCATTCACAGAAGAACACAGTCCTCATACTGCAGTCCTTTTAACCATCCTACCATCTTCACAGCCTCTCCAAAGCCAGCTGCAATCACTACACTTTATCTCCCATCACAGCATCTATTTGGGTCACCCATACTTCTCTCAGCGTTCCTCTGAATGCTTCAGCTTGTGCAGTGAACCTATTAAGTGCTCCTTCTGAAGGTGACCTACGTGTCTCAGTTAGTTTCTCACAGAGAGGCAGAGAGCACCAAACAGGGTTTCCAGCAGCAGATAAATTAGGTGACCTCTTTCTCCCCACTTAAGCAGCTAGTGACACAGTCTGGCAGTTACGGGTTGGTGCAGCAAATTGTTGTGTTATCAAATGCATTTGTCATGGCAGTTGCTAGAAGACCCTGTGGAAATCATAAACAGCAAGCTGGAGCTTCAAGCCTTTGACCAAATTGACGACGAAATCAAACTGATCGGCTACTTCAAAGGAGAAGACTCTGAACGTAAGATGACTATGTTCCTTGTGGGAGCCTTGGTGAGGGTGCTGGGGGTTATATGTTCCTGTTCATTAACATTAAGGAGACAAGCAGTTGCAGTGCGTTAGTCTCTGGGGGATGAGGTAGGGTTGCAAAAGTGAGCTTCTGCTTTTGCTGTGCATAAGCCCATTCATACACCCTTGGGCTTGCTTCAAAGGGCTGCTGATTTTAGCCCCTGCTTAATGTAGCATTTTGGGATCTGTAGTGGAGCTGCACAAAGTGTGTTCTGTTCACTCCACATGAAATGGTTCTTGTTTGTAAATCCTGAAGGTGTGTAAGAAACATAGTACTGTCATCTGCTGTATTTTGTAACAATTTATATTTGCCTCCTGTACTGATCAGAATGAGACCAGATGTCTATGAAATCTTTCCTTCATTCCCCTTTTCTCCTTACAGATTACAAGGCATTTGAAGAGGCTGCTGAACACTTCCAACCGTACATCAAGTTCTTTGCCACATTTGACAAAGGGGTAAGCATCCACACACCTCATCATGGGAGATGACAGACCCCTTTCTGCACAGCTTAAAGCCTTTTCACTGCAAAGCTGTAAGCTTTGAAGCAAGAAGTTGAGAGAAGGCTTTCCCTATAACTGAGTGTGAGGGTTAGAATGGCCATGAGCATCCTATTCTGGGTAACTCTTTTGGTGCAAGAGGGTTGAACCAGATGACATCAGAGGCCACTTCTAGACTCAACCATGCTGTAATTTTGTGAACTACTGGTCAACAGTGCTCCCACCTTCCTTCAGCTCTGCATCTGCCCCTGGCCCTCCTTGATCACGAGCTGTCACTTGCACATTCACAGTGGGCATGTCACTGCAAAGATAGATCAAGGCTGGTATGCGTAAGCGAGGATTGGGAGTCTTTTGCTCTGTTGTAGCTCATTTCCTCCTTTGCTATTTGAGGCTGTTAACGTCTCAAATGGACAAGATAGGTGTACTCTGGCTTCAGGCTCCTCGTGTGCAACACCTAGACAGAAATGAACTGGAATGGAATAAATGAGAGCTGTTCAAATAGGGGTCATCAAGACATACAAATCGGCAGAAGCATATTGTGCAAGAAGATGTTTATTGCGCAAGCCGTGTTTATCACAAAGCCTTGCTCTGCCTGTAATTTCCAAATCCACAACTTATACAGCATTTTCCAGAAGCTCAGAATGTTCCTGGATTTAGTATCTGGCTCTAGCTTTTCATTTTGAGCATTCCTGTAACTTCTAGTATTTCTGTCTGCTTTTGCATTGGCTCTGTTCCAAGATTAAAAGCCATTTCTGTAGTGGGGAGTCAGATTTGGATCTGGTTTTGGGAATCATCTCCAGCTCCATTAGGCTTGCAGGACAAAGATTCTTGCTCTCCCATAGTGCTTGGTACTTAGAAAGAATCAGTGCTTTTTTTTTTTTTTCTTTCTTTTTTTTTTTGCAAGGACATATTCATTCATATTTTGCTGGCCACACTAAGAGTGCACTTTGAGGGAGAGAAAATTGCTTGGCATCAACTCTTCCACCAGCAGAGGCTCTGGATGCCCAGGATGCACCTCAGGCTCATTCAACTGTGACCATTTGAACTCCCACAGGTTGCTAAGAAACTGGGTCTGAAGATGAACGAGGTGGACTTCTATGAACCATTCATGGATGATCCTGTTCACATCCCCGATAAACCTTACACAGAAGAGGAACTGGTTGAATTTGTGAAGGAGCACAAAAGGTATGTAGCAGTCAGGATTCTCCTGGCCATGGTAAGAGGGCAAAGGTGTCCTTCATTGCAGGTTGCCTCTCCAGGACAGTCCTTCTCAGTAAAAATGAGGATGGCTACCACATATTGGCTGTTTGTTCACCCATTCTTGAGATTTTGGTGAATCTTTCTACTCCCTTATTCCACTTAAAGGGTTAAAAATGTAGGTTGCTCTGAAAGTAATTCCTCCTATTTATTTCTGTGGAAAATATGACAGATGCAAAGAGCACAATAACACTGTCTGATAGAGCAAATTCTCAGCCACAAAGCACTACTTTTCAACATAGTCACCATCATTACTAATTCATTTTCATCAGTGGTGGACAAGAGCCTACATGCCACTCTCACTGAAATCTGTGCTAGTGGAAGTGACATGCTGTTTCACAGCTGCTATCATGGTGTTGTTGCCCATGCAGTTCATCTTTCATTGGCCTCGAAAAGATGGAAGTCAGAAGGTGCCAAATCTGGACTATACAGTAGGTATGGTAGGACAGTCCAGCCAAGTCTGGCAATCTGCTCCATGGTCTTCAGACTGGTATGTGACCTGGCATTATCGTGTTGCAAGAGAAAAGCTGTATTCTTCTCTAGCTTGAATTTGAAAGTTTGAGCCTTCATCTTAGTCAGTGTCACAGTGTAGTGGTCAGAGTTGATGCTTTGTCTGGGTTCTAGGAAATCTGGCAGCATCACCTCTTTTCTGTTCCAAAAGACAGTACAACATTACTTCATCCACTGAGAGCTGTATCTTGAATTTTTCTTTGATGGGGAATTCACATGTCGCCACTTCATGGACTGCCATTTTGATTCTGGCTTATAGTATTAGCACCACGTCTTGTCACTGGTAAAGACACAATCCAGGAAACCGCAATCTTCAGCCTTGGATTGGTTAAACGGGTCCTGTCAACCTTGCATACAGTGTACTTTCTGTTCCAGTGTGAGAATCTGTGAGACCCATCTGGCACTGCGATATTCCAATGTTTTCACCATCGTTTCTAATGCACTGAAGCTGATATTCAGTTCCATACATAGTTCTGTAGCTGCAATCCGCTGATTCACATGGATGAGCTGATCAAGACACTCTTTATTTCATGGTATGACAGCTGTACATGGCCATCTGAAACATGGCTTGTCTTTCACATCACCATTGCTGCTGAAGAAATGCTCCACCTACTGCCTCACTGTGCTGACATCCCCTGTTTGGTGTCCACAAATTTTCTACAAGTGTCAATGAATGTAATTGAGTGCCATTTTTTTCCTGCATGGAGGAATTAAATGACACACTTTTTGCTTCATATGCTATTCCATAGCAGACCCCATTCTGTTACACCACTCCTCTGATGCCATCTGTCACATGGCAAAGATTCAACCTCTACTGCCATAACACTGACATCTGCTTCTGATGTCATGGGCCAAAATAATAAAATAGGAGGCAGTACTTTCAGAGCAGCCTTTGTATAAGGGCATAACTACCTATGAGGTGCTTTATTAAGTACTGCACTGCCAGACAGTCTTAGGAAGGGACTGTTCTGTCCTGAGATATCTCTGAGCTAGTGTGGCCTCAATTAAAGACGTTTTGTGTGCCGTAACATAGGAGGGACATAAAATTGTTATAGAGTAACCAAAGGAGGACTACAAAGATAGGGAAGGGTCTGGAGGGCAGTATATATGAGAAGCAGCTGAGGTCCTGTGGTTTGCTTGGGCTAGAGCAGAGGAGGCTGAAGGAAGACCTCATGGTGGCCTGCAGCACTGAGCTCTGCTCTCTGGTGACAGAGACAGCACTCAAGGGAATAGCATGGAGTTGTGTTGGGAAGTGTCAGGTTGGGGGTTAAGAAAAGGTTCTTCACCAGAAGATGGTGAAGGCTGCCCAGGGCAGCCCCGAGCTGCCAGAGTTCAAGGAGTAGACTAGAGGGAATCAAGTTGTACCAAGGAAGGTTCGGGTTGGATATTATGAAAAATGTCTTCTCAGAAAGAGTGGTGACACATTGGCACAGGCTGCACAGGGAGGTCGTGGAGTCACTGTCATTGGAGGCATTCAAGAAATGTTTAGATGTGGTACTAAGGGACGTGGTTTAGTGGGCAACATGGAATCACAGAACCACCAATATATTACGTCAATGTTTCCCTCATCCACCAGGTGGGTAACTCCATCATAGAAGGAGATCACGTTGGTCAATATTGATGGGAGGTGGACGGTTGGACTAGATGATCTTGGAGATCTTTTCCAACCATGGCGATTCTATGATTCTATGGCTGTTTGGACATAGGCTTTCAATTTTGGGTAGTGCATTGTGAAGCCAGGAGCTGGATTCAGTGATCCTTGGGGATGATTATAGAATATCCTTCCAACTCAGGATATTCTATAATTCTTTTACTTTTGCATCCTTAAAAATAAATACAGCACATGACAATCACACAGGCTATCCATTGCTCGTGCAAGCTGCATTTCACAACAGACATCTAAGGAACTTGAAAGGGGCTGAAGAAAAGCAGAACCTTTGAAGTTGCTAGAGCACCCCAAACAGTGGAGATTTGCATTTGTGCACACACAGGGGTTAGAGATAGAGAATGCTGAATGCAAGTCTTGCAGACAGATCTCTGCTTTTTCTGAATTATGAAGGGGTCCTCTATCTTCCATGTACTCTCAGGTCACTTTGCTGACCTCCTGGACTTCCTTCCCAGATTCTCTCTCAAGCTCTTCTGTCAAGTAGCAGCATCACGAAGATGATTAAACACAGACAGCTAAATACTATAGTCTAGTGAGGCATGCTCTCTATCAGCACAAAATTGCAGTGGAAACACGTGAATGCACTCAAAGATCCTTGTCGCCGAATTTCCTTTCTCTAAGAGCTGCCCCTAGAAAACGGCTAGGCAAAGCATCTGAAACACTAGATACAAGTATGAGATATGCATTCATCCAACACAATCTCCAGTTTCAGTCAAACAGCAGTGAGGACACTTGCTGGGTCAAGAACTGTAGCCCTGTCCTTGTGCTTAGTGTTTTTTTCTTCAAATTCTGTAGTTATTTTTCACTTCATTTCTATTTTGCTGCATGAAGTATCTAAACGTAAGGAGTTCCAAAGCTGAATTGTGTATTGCATCAAAAGAGTATTCCTCTTTGTTCAGTTTATACCAGCTGCCTTATAATTTTACTGTATGCCTACCAACTGTGCTCTGAGAAACAATGACTAGCCTGGTTCACTCCTTGTGAACGGTAAACATTTTTCACACTCCGTACCAAATCCCTCTTCAGTCACTTATTTTTCAAGACAAATAATTTTCTTTAAGTTAATCTCCACAAAATAGAGGCCATTCCAAACCTTTCTTTACCACTGCCATCTTTTCATGGGACTGTTTTGGTTGTCCTGTATCGTTTCTGTGATGGGATATTCTGGACAACAAATGCATTCAGTGAGGGGGTATGCACAGTGGAGTTGTCTATTGCTATAATGATATGATGTCTTTTGCTCTTTAGCCATTTCCCAACCATTTGCATCCTCTTTTTGTTTTGTTTTGTTTTTGGAACTGCTGCTTTCTCAGTTTATGACACCTGGGCCCCTTCCCTTAGAGGCAATAATTAATGATAACTAATTTAGAGCCCATTGTTGGACCTGTATAATCAGGGCTGCTTTTCTGCAAATGTGTTACTTCCTATATGTCTATCCATCATGAAGACACTCAGGTCTCTGGAGATGCCTTTGTAACTCCTCTCCGTCGGGCCTGGTGTGGACCATCTGAATAATTGGGTATAATAAGCAAATGCTGTCATCTTCCAATTTCCTACCTTTCTTCAGATAATGTAAGAATACGTTATGCATATGATCCTGCTAAAGCATATGCTGTGAATGTTAACTGGCTCCTCGGAGCCATCAGGAACCTTTAAAAACCTGAACATCCATTCCCTGTTTCCACTGCTCTGGCAGAGAGGCAAACATAAGCAACAGGCTTCACATCTCACAGGATGCCCCCTCATCTTGGTGATATGCTGCCACTCACTTTACCAGTTTCCCCAAAAACCTAATGGACCCACTCTTTTTGCAACAACTTGCAGAGCTTCTCTGCCGTGAAGAGCTGTTCTGCTTGGAACACTGATGCCACAGTCAGCAGAGACTCAAAGGGTCCCTTGTGCTTATCTGCCACAGCCTTGTGTCCTTTTGTTGTTCACCCCTCAGCCAGCCAGACCCTCTGACAAGCTTTCTGCTGCAGATGTGTCTGAAAACATTTACTATTCCTTTTTTTACCCTTTACGAATTGCTTCTCGAAAACAAACTCCAAAAAGCCTACCAGGCTTTGGCTGATTTACATTTTCTTTCCAATGGTTCTTATGATGTATTTTTTCTCGCTAGAGGTTATTCTTTGCTATAACAGAATCTGGGGGATTTTTATGGCAAAGTTAAGCTGGGCTAAAACTGCTAAAAGAGAACAGAGTCCCATAGGAAAACAAGAGTGTTGAATGTCCTAGGGACAGCAAAACAAAAGTGAATGGCTCATCTTATGCCCTCAGCCTGGATGGAACAATCTGCCATGTGTAGGATTGATACCCCAGCATGTCCCAGCACAGAGTGGTGTTTCATCTTCCCAGGCACAAGGAGTGGCTCCAGCAACTCCAGCGAAGCCAAGGGCAGGGTTTTATGACCACACATGAAAGTGGAAGATGACCTACCCTGTCCCAGACTTGCATTCAAAATGTGGTGGCTTGTAGTGTTGAATTGGGACATCAATCAAATGTGGCACAGTGAACTTGCCCATGACAATGGCAGTGTTGCATGCGATGATGCTGGATATATCTTCAAAGAGCCTTTCTTTCTTCTTTTCAGAGCCACCTTGAGGAAACTACGCCCAGAAGACATGTTTGAGACATGGGTTAGTACACGTGAAGATGAAGCTTTGCGTCCCCTGCTTCCAAACAGAAACAAACCCCCTCTGGCTACCAAACTGCTGCTCCCAAGCCCCAGCCTTTGGCTAAGCAAACAGAGCCACACTTTCCCAGAAGCATAAAGAGTTAATTCCCAAGAAATGGTTATTCCCTCCCAAAAGTAGAAGTTATTCTCAGGTAACCAACTACTCCAGCCAAGATAAGAGGTATCCTGTTGTTGAGAATCGCTGTACTGACCATGGTACATCAATGCAGAGCAATCTTGGCAAGGATCATCTAATGGACATCCTTTAGATGGGGGAGTCACAGAGATTGTACCAAATGAATGAAACTGTACTGGAGCAACAGTACAATTCAAAATGCAAGCGAGGGCAGGCAGTTCAGCTGATTATATAGATTATGGAGTAAATAGCCTGTTGATTGCTCTTATTGAGGTGTGAGCAAGCTGCAAGTCAGCAATTGTGGAGAACTAACCAGCAGTTTGGAGCAGAACACACACACAGAGTTCTCCTGGTCTGTAAATATAGGGGAAGGGGGAAAGGGTGAAAAATAAAGAAAAACAGTGTATTGCAAATTATTCCTTCACCATGGATGAATAAGACATTAACAGCCATCTAGAGAGCTTTAACTGCCAGCTGAATGTGGAAAACAAAGCTGAACAGATGCTTATAGAAGTTACAGAAGATGCAATCATTCTTCCAAAAATCTCAGTACAGCATTTTTAACAGCATTCACTATATAACATGAAATGCTGTGGGAGTTAGAAGCACTGAAAACCCTGGGAATCTTTAATACAACAAGGCAAGAGGTAATAAACTGTACTGAGAGTTATGAGCCACTTAGGCATGGTAGGTTTTCATTTTGTTTTGAAATACAGATTCTGTGTAGAATATGGCTTCCTAGATCCACTAAGTTCCTCAGAGTTATTTTCACAGGCTTCACTAGGACCCAAATTTCACAGGCAATGATTTTGATTTCATACTGAATACATTCTGAAATAACCTCTAGAGAAGTGTGTGAATTGTCAGTGGTGGGATATCTGTTTAAAAAGCAGCCTGGAAATACAAAATGTTCCTCTGCCACACAACTAGCATCTGCACCACAACAGGGTGGATTCAGGTCTTACTGCAAGTTCAGGACAGCACCAGTGGCTTCGTTGGTGTTACTCCAGTTTAGTTTGCTTCACAGACTGTCAGAATATATATATACACCAGGATAAATGCATATATATGTCAGAATATATATGCATTTATCCTGGTGTATATATATATTCTGATCATATATATATTTGCATTTTCCTATCTGACAATGCTGCTGATAAATATGGAGAAAAAGGAATGCTGCAGATTTTGCCAGCCGTAAGTGCTCTGAATCCCAGAGAAAATCTGCCCAGAATCCCCCTGTGAAAACATATTCTCCAAAGATGCCTCCAGTGGCCCTACACTAGCTGTTGTTTTTAAAGATAATATTTTCTACTTAATCTTTCAGGTTTTTTTCCCTTTCGGTTTTTGATGGTGGCTTTGTCACCTCTGAGCTCAGAATGGAAAAGAAATTAGCATTTAGATGGGAATTTCTTCTCGCATTAAAACCAATTGAAATCAAATCCGGGACCAGCAGTGGGTGAGGAATATGAAGCCATTCTGTGGGAGATGACATTCATAGCAGGCGGATGACAAAACAGCTGGCGGATCGATTGGCCTTTGCCAATATCATTACCCATTGCTCACACATAGCACAGAGAGAAGCAGCCCGCCAGGCTGTCATTTCTATCTTCCATTCATTTGAACCTCAAATTGAGCCTCCTACTCAATGCCCCTTGCTGTTCATGAAGAGCCTTGTTTAGAGCAGAGATCCTTCACTTCCCACAAGATGTCCAAGTGATCCACATCACCCCCCACAGCATGAGAAAAGCTCCTTTAGTGGACTCAAACAAGCATACTTTAGGGCTGAGCACAGTGAATCCAGGTGACCTAGGGTGAACACAGATTCCCATGCTAGGTGGTTTTCAACCTTCTCAGCAACCAAGGTTTTGACCCACACCATTAGAATAGCTCTATTGCCTTTGCTATTGGAGTGCCCACCTTACTTTTAGCCCCCGTTTTTCAGCAATGCTGCCCAAATAACCTGTTTTGGTGCCTGCTACCTCCACAACTCAGCCTTACTTCAGCTCTCATTTCTGGTGTCTCAATGGTGCCTCAGCTAATTTTCTCTTGGAGATTGTGCTGCTTGTTCAAAGTTATCCCAGCACCTCTTGTCTCCAGCAACCACTCAGACTGTCTTCCCTCTGTCCCATCAATAACTGTTTCATTGTTTGCAGGAGGATGACATGGAAGGAATCCATATCGTGGCCTTTGCTGAAGAAGATGACCCAGGTAGGAGGCCATTTTCTTCACTGTATGACTCTTCATCCTCTCAAGAAGGTGTAGGTCCCCTCCTCAGCCTCCAGAATTGCTCCTTCTCATCCCCCCTTACTAACTGCTTTGTTGTCCTCCCACACCTTGATCCTCAGCACAGGGGTTACCATCATTTTCTAACAAGCCCCTGGGACCACCCTCACTCTCCTCTGCCAGCTGACTCAAAGCTCTCCCCTGACCAGACCATCCTACACAGGCTGGACAAGTACATGGCTGGCTGGAAGAACAGGTGTCATCTCCATCCCAGTCTGGGACCTGGAAGCAATCCATCACTTCTGAATCTCTGCCACAGCTGTCACAAAAGTTGTGCCTAGCACAGACCTCTGGTTTGATTGGTGTGGCAGGTCATATATTTTCCCATAGCCAGCAAGGAAGCTGGAGCTTGAGCACCAAGATTTGTCCCTAATTCTGAATCTGTCTTGTTGTGTGAATTAAGAATGTGCTGAGGGCTTGTTCTGTCACATCATGGAGGAAAACTGTAGGCATAGCTTCCAGAAAAGCCACAGAATCAGTGATTCTCAATGCCAGCAGCATGATGAAAAGCTTTGGCCTCTTAAGGGCTGGTGTCTCCTCCCTCGCCACAAGAAAACACTTTCATTGTTCCGCTCCATGGAGGGATTATGAGGATTAATTCATGTGTAACTAATTTCAATACCCAGGGAGGTTGGTCCAAATTAAAAGCCTTATTATCAGAAGAAAGAGTGGGGAGACAGCATTTTAATGAGAATTATAAACAACTCCTGTGTTCATAGGGGGTGAAGGAAGTCAGAAACCCCACAAGCGAAAGTGGCTGGGTGTTTGCAGGAGAGGGCTCTAGAGGTTCCTCTGTCTTTTCAGATGGCTTTGAGTTCCTGGAAATCCTGAAGCAGGTTGCCAGGGACAACACTGATAATCCTGACCTGAGCATTGTGTGGATCGACCCTGACGACTTTCCTCTGGTGAGTGGCAGGGGCTGGTTTCCTTCCTTGATTTGGCATGTGGATATAGGCACAGGAGCACACAGGATTAGCCTGGGTGCATGCACAGGATGCAAAGCAAGGGGCTGTCACTAGGAGCTGCTCACTTGAGTGATGTCTCAGCAGCGTCCCCAGAGACAGCACTTTTCTTTGCTATGAGCAATGGCCAAGCTTTCAGTTTCTCTTCCATTCCTTCCATGGTATTCTGGACTCACTGCCCTTCCAGTTGAATTTATGCAAAGGAATGTTGCAAAGATCCTTGTTTGAGTTTTGCTTCTTGCTCCTGCAGCTTATCACTTACTGGGAGAAGACCTTCAAGATTGACCTGTTCAGGCCACAGATTGGGATTGTGAATGTCACAGACGTGAGTAGCATGCATCTGAAAATCCAGTGATTCCATGAATAGAATGCTTGAAAATTATGGGATCCAAAGCAGAAAGTAGGTCTACTGGCATTACTAAGATTTCTGCTAAGTGCGAGAAAAACAGGCTTTTTTCCTCTGGGAAAAAGCATCAAGACCCCATCATTCCTGTGTGCAGGGAATGAGAGGAAGGTGCTCAGGCTTAGAAGCTACAGAGTGTAGAGTCACAGAATCATAGATTTGTTAACCTTGGAAAAGACCTCCAAGATCATCTAGTCCAACCATCCACCTATCACCAACGCTGCCCACCAAACCACGTCCCTTAGTACAATATCTAAATATTTCTTGAACACCTCCAGGGATGGTAACTCAACTACCTCCCTGGGCAGCCCGTTCCAGCACCTCACCACTCTTTTGGAGAAGGTTTTTCTAATATCCAACCACTTCTGGTACAGCTTGAGGCCATTCCCTCCTGTCCTATTACTGTTACCTGGGAGAAGAGGCTGACCCCCACCTCTCGATAACCTCCTTTCAGGGAGTTGTAGAGAGCAATAAGGTTTCCCCTCAGCCTCCTCTTCTTGGACTAAACAATCTCAGTTTCCTCAGCCACTCCTCAGAAAATTTGAGCTCCAGACCTCTCATAGCTTTGTTGTCTTTCTCTGGACATCCTCCAGGGCCTCAATATTTTGTATTAAGGAGCCTGAAAATGAACACAGTACTCACCAGAGTTGAGTGCAGTGGGACGATCACCTCCCTGCTCCTGCTAGCCACACTGTTTCTGATACAAGCCAGGATGCCCTTGGCCTTCTTGGTTACCTGGGCACACTGCTGGCTCATTCAGCTGAGTGTCAACTAACGCTCCCAGGCCCGTTTCCTTTGCACAGTCTTCCAGCCACTCTGCCTCAAGCCTGTAGTATTGCCTGGCATTGTTGTGACCAAAGTGTGGGACCTGGCACTTCTTGGTTTCGTTGAACTTAATCCTATTGGCCTCAGCCCATCGATTTAGCCTGTGCCCAAGACAGTTCTCAACCTCCACATCTCCCACTAGTCTTTCTCAGTTTGTGAGAACAGAGAACAGTGTTGAACAGCAGGTCTGTGGGGGTACCTACCCCAGTAGGCTCTCTTACTTGTGTACGGCCTCTCTTACCGGCTGTGTCAGGAAACTATCTTCCACACACTCCAGGAACCTCTTAGATTGCTTCATCTGGGCTGTGTTGTACGTATCAGGGAAGCTGAAGTCCCCCACCAGAACAAGGGCAGATGATTTCACAACTTCTGCCAGCTGCTCCTAGAATGCCTTGTCTGTCTCTCCATCCTGTTAGGCAGCCTGTAACAGACCCCCACTAGTATATCAGCCTTGTTGGCTGTTCTCTTCATCCTTAAACGTAGAGGCTTGACCTGAGCATTGCCTGTCCCAAGCTCAACAGCACTAAAACATTCTCTAGCACAGACAATCAAGCCATTGCCCCTCCTTCCTTGCCTATCCCTTCTGAAGAGCTTATAGCCATCCACTGCAGAACTCCAGTCCTAGGAGAGATCCCACCATGTGTCAATAATGGCAACTCATAGTTTGCCTGTGGCACAATGGCTTCCAGCTCCTCTTACCCATGCTACATGCACTGGTGTAGATGTACTTCAGCTGAGCTGTTTGCCTGGCCCCCAACCCCAAGCAGATGCAGTGCTGGCTGGATGTGTCTGGTGTTTTAGGGCAGCATTTGTCAGAGTATTAGGCAGAGAGAGAGAAAAGGGAAGAGGACCAAGATGGTTTCTGTCACGTGCAATCATGAGAGAGAGGAACAGACAAGCTAGAAATAGAGCCCCAAGTCTTCCAGTCTTTTGCTCTTATTACTAGCTTATGGTGTCTATTATATTTATTGCAGTTGGCTACATTTAAGTCATGTCAAAGCAACATTAAACAACTATCAATAGGCATTCATAAAAGTAGGACTGTCAGTAACAAGGGAATAATGTAAAAAGCAGCATCAGGCAGGAACATATGCCGTATTATCTGGCAGTCACTAAGAGACCTGTAGAAACTCATACATTATCTAGATTTGATATAGTAAATATTTCAGCTTGTCGATTATAGTATTTACAGATTTTATTTCATTCCTCTTAAGTCTGTTCTCTATTCCTCAAGAGAGAGATTTAAGAAAGTTCTAGGTTGGCTGGTGATATCTAACACAAACATTGAGCTCATTTTGCTATTTCAGTGTTACATCACTGCTTTCAGTGGAGTTACACAGGTACAAAGTAGGGCTTACACAGCCAAGTATAAATAAACACTCCTGTTGGCTTCAGTGGACATAACCTCTGTGACCCTATCACTTCTCTAAAAACATACCAGTACAAACACAAAGCTCCCAGAGGCCCACACTGGCTTGTCACATTGTTGTGGCTCAGAACTCACACCATGATGTGCTTCAGAACATTGCTGCTGCTTCTGCACAGAATCTTCTCGATGGTCCCACTCCCCCTACCCTTATCTGAGATATCCCTTTTTGCCACACAAATGGTCTTGTGCTCTGGAACAGGATCATTTACATGAAGTAAGAGCTGCATGCCTCTCTGTGGTCCTTTTTTGTTGTTGTTGTTTCAGTTTTGGTGTTTTAGGAGGAAAATGTAGCAGATATAGAGTGTAAGAAAGACACAGACCTGTTGGAACAAGTCCAGAGGAAGCCACCTTGTTTAGAGGGCTGGAGTGCCTCTCCTGTGAAGAGGGGCTGAAAGACATGAGGTTGTTCAGACCATAGAGAAAGCTCTGGGGAGACTTCATTGAGGCCTTCCAATTCCTAAAGAGAGCCTATAGGAAAAAGGAGGAGAGACTCTGGCAGGGAGTGTAGTGAGAGGACAAGGGGTAATAACTTCAAACTGAAAGAGAGTGGGTTTAGATTAAACATAAGGAGGAAATTCTTCACTATGGGAGTGGTGAGGCACTGAACAGGCTGCCCAGAGAAGCTGTGGATGCCCCATCCACAGAGGTGTTCAAGGCCAGTTTGGATGGGGACCTGGGCAGCCTGAGCTGGTGAATAGCAACTCTGCCCATGGTAGGGTTTTGGAACTGAGTGGTCTTTAAGATTCCTTCCAACCCAAATTATTCTGTGGCTCTCTGATTCTAAATACGGTCTGGCTTTTTAAGAAGCCAGATATAAAGAGAATAAATAAAGAGAATTAAGTACCACTGACAAAGAAGTGGTGTGTGTAGCTATCATCTGACATATGGTAAGTTCTTGCTTCTGCAAAATCAGACACTGATAGAAAGAACCTCACAGCACCTCTGTGAAACAGGAGGCTGATCTTGTTTACAGAGAGAAAACAAAGAAGGAAAAGGAGCTTATCAAGGCATTTACTCAAGGAACCTATAGGAAAACAGAGAGACAAATCTAAGCTATGTTTTCTGTCTCTGGCTAATAGCTGCAATTTAGACAGCACCTTCTAACTGCATTTTAAACAACATCATCTTGTTATTCACCCTCACCTCTCCAGTTTATGGAAGTAATGTAGTGTAGGATTAGGAACAAGGCAGCAGGCTCACATCAAACACACAACAAACAGCACCAAAGGCTCCTGTAGACACTTCAAACAGTCCTACATCTTGTAGTCAGAACCAATAGCACTTCATGGGGAGGGTGGTAGTCCCAGCATTCGGGTAGAGTGGTATTGTGACTGCTCCTGCCCACGTGCTGTAGTAGGGAGGGAGCTAATGCCACCTCCAACCCTGCATCCCTCATATGGTCCAGTCCTTACCACAACATTAGCAACAAATCTAATCTCTTCCCGTGTGACTGAGGGTGGCTAATCCCTGTCACCTGTCTCCACAGGCTGATAGTGTCTGGATGGACATCAGGGACGACGATGACCTGCCCACAGCCGAGGAGCTGGAGGACTGGATAGAGGATGTGCTTTCCGGGAAGATAAATACTGAAGATGATGATGATGATGACGACGACGATGATGACGACGACGATGATGATGATGATGACGATGATGATGACGACGATGATGACGACGACGATGATGATGACTAACTGTGACTCTGTACAGTTTGACTTGTGGAGGCTGAGAGGCCTCCCCCTGTGGCAGGTCCCTTCATCAGAAGACCTGTGTTTGAGCGTCAGCAAGCACCGCCTGCTCCTCCTTTCCCCCTTGCCCCGCTCCCCCTGCCCCTGCTGGGACTCCCGGCCTGATTCTCAGAGGTGCTGAGCCACCAGGACTGCTACCTTGGTGGGTGGCACCAGCAGGTGCCCAGCACCGCTGTAAATCATGCCTCCATAGAAAGGACAATAGGAATCTGTAGGGAACCTGCCCCAGTGCCCAGTGCAGGAGGAAAGCACCTGCATGCTCACTGCCAGAAGGACACAGGGAGCCAGTTTGTATTTTCCATGCTCATCAGCCCATCATGTACATCCAAAGACCAAATCTCACTCGAAACAGAGGGAAGGTCACTGTAAAGTTTAGTCCTTTCATTAAACAAAATGCCTTTTGCAGCTACTCTGCCAAGACCACTGGATCCTGAAAGTTCTGCTATTGGAGTATAAAGCTACTTGTTAGCATACTAGGAGCAGCAAAACATTTGAGGGGGGGAAAACAGTTTTAGGAACGCTAGTTAGTGTTCCTAAAATAATTTTAAGTGATTCCATAAAGTGACAGTATATTTGTATCTGACAGAGGATGCAAAAGCCAACACCACAGTCCCTGTTTGACACGCTTTCTTCAAGCAAAAAGTAGAGTAAGTGCAGGTGGTTTTAGATAGGACAGCACAGCTTGCAAGTTCTCAAGCTTGGAAGTTTCTGAATGCTGGAAAGGCTGATGCAGGTCTGAGTCCAGACTCTCAAGGATGAAGATCACTGCACTGAGCCTGACTGTTGGTTCTTAATCTTGGGGAAACACCAGAGCTGACCTCAGGCTAGTTCCAAACATCTGCAGCCAGGTCTGGGCTGAGGTGGTAAAATGTGAGATAGCACACTTCTGCCCATAGAAACCTTCATAGGGGCTCACCCTGAAGCCTTCCTATTCCCCATGACCTTCCAGCTTTAGGTGACTTTTAACCAAAATTCCATGTAGCATCTTTTCCCATGACCAAGGTGTTAGGAGGGAACATATCCATCCAACCATATTAGATGCTGGATTAAGTGAGTTGGGCAATGAGCAATGAAAGCATTCAAGCTGGTCAACTTCTACATATTCAGCTGCAAATTCAATCCCTGCTTTGAGACTTGAATGTCCCATGGTAGCCTGTGAGAAACCTCTTCCACACTGAGGTGGAGCTCATGGCATCAGCTTGCAGCCATGAGGTAAAGGGCCAGTGACTGAGTCCCAGTGAGTGCCGCTCCATCCATGTGCAGGTCACTTCAACAGCATTAGATCTCCCTGCTTTCCCATGCCAGCAGATTTCAATTGTCTTAGCTTCTTAGGTTTGACAATAGTGCAATGAATGGAGAGCTTGGAGATGCTTTATCTTTATAAATACTTTATAAATATGTTTTCCAGTAATTCAGACTTGGTAGCAGAGGTGGGATGTATATGTCCTCTCTTGAAACAGTCAAAAAACATTGTTCTGGTCTTTCTTAAGAAAACTGGCTTATGTCAGAGATAAGTGATGTTAGTGGAAATAATAGTGCAAGGAACAAGAGATTCAGTGCACGCTGTATGAAAATGAATCAGCCTGATGAGAAACAAGGTTTACACACCATATATTTCCTTCATTGGATAAGCTGCAAAGCAAGATTTTATAGATTTCTTTTTCTCCTTTACGTTGGTCAGTCTCTTTGTCTCTCTCTTTCCCTCTATACTTGAGCTGAAATAGAAATTTGAAATTACTAGTATAAATTGGCTAAAGTACTGATCTACTTCTGTGTGTGCCATGTCCCCTCAGTGGGAGGCGCCAGCATGAAAAACACTCAGCTGGATGTCTAATTACCTCTGAGAATGAATGCTGTGCCTACGTGGTAGATGGCTATAGGCCATGCTAGCTTCACACTGAGCATCTGACACTCAACTAGCACTTTTCAGGCACTATCTATTAGCATGATAGGACAGCTACGTCCTCAGGTTGGGTATTATCTGTGTTAGCCCTTTCTTATTTCTTCATGATGTATAAGCACTTTCTGGAAGACTTGAACCAAGTGTGTTTGGGGAGATCATCTGGGTGTTTACACCAGCGTGCACAGCGGTGAACAGCTCAGCCCCAATCCAAAGGATCTGGTGGAGACTTTGGGAAGGTTTGAAATGCAGTGTGCTGTCAGACTGGAGGTCCTCTCTCCAGATCAGAAAGGTGACCAGTGCTATCCCTCTGCTCTGCCCTTTCAGCTATTTCAGCCAGGAGAGAGGGAACAAGCTGAACTCAAAGACTCATTTACGCACATTAGTAAAGAGCAAGAACAAGCTAAACTGGCAGTTTAGTAGTCTCTTAGTCTGTGATTAAGGGACAAACTCTGCTTATGTTGCTCACCTGAGAATAGTACTTGCTTATCTTTACCTTGGAGATATTCCCAGGAGGAAAGCATGCAAGATTTCACTCTGTATATTATAACTTCCTTAGCAGCTCTGCAGCCCCAGATCAGTCATTGCTAAGTCCTGCCACTCTCGATAAACGTGAAGAATAAACCAAGACTTGCTCTACTGCCTTTCCCAGCCAGCACTGCCCCTGGACACCCCAACTGCTTGGATACTTTCCTTGTAATACCACTGCTCACAGACATATTTCTAGTATGATACGCCTCTGTCCATATGCTCCAACGGATATAAATCAGGCAGAAGAAATAGACCCTGCAAATAGCATTGCAGATGTGTTCAGGTGCAGAGGTGGTGGTTAACCTTATACAGATACTAGAAAAACCGAGCTCACACTGCAGCCAGTAGGCTGGTGTTGGTGATTTATGGAGAATTCCCCCTGTGTTATGAGAAAAAGGGCTGATCATATGGTTGCCACTCCTCAGTGGGGCCAGCACAGTTCTTGAAGTGGACTGCCCTTCTCTCTTCCCTCAGTCCCACGTTATGGTTTCCTTTAGTTCTCTTTGACCACAAAGGGGATCATTTTGTCTCCAGCTTTTACTTACGAAGCCAGAAGAGGCTAGACTCTTCTTCTGGGATAAACCCATCAAAAATTAACAGGTGTTGCAAAAGTGGAAGGATTGCAGCAACGAAGAACAGCAGGTGGCCAAGGCGCTCTCATTTACCCACAGCACCCAGGTTCACAGGGGCTGAATGAGATACAGCTCCTCGTGAAGGAGCTGAAAGTTTGAATTTGAGTGTCTTCCTTCAGGTAAGATACCTGTGTGTTGTGGGTTACAGCTGGAGAGACAGGGAGAAACTCTGCACAAAACCACTGAAATAGTTTAATTTCCCAGTACACTACTGGTGTGGATCCATACCCATACCTGCATACCTTACTCTTCTCCATCTTATGACAGTTCCATCCAGAGAACTTGGAGGTGCAGTGGGCCACACTCAGTGTTTCTGCAGGTAGGTCTATTGGATGAGGGCAAAACAGAATTCATCATCTTCATGTGTATTAAGACCAATTTAATTGGAATGTGAGATTACCACTTCAGTGAAAATACGTATTAGATCTATCAGAAGCACAGAGGAGGAAGCTCCTGCCATTGCAGCAGGCCTAAGGACATTGCTGGAGAGACTCTGTGAACCAGGACTATGTCTGAACTAATGTCAATTCCTTGGGAAAGTTTCTGAAGGAGAAGACAAGGGTGGCACAGTGAAGTCACAGAGTGCTTCATATTTTCATGGTCAGCAGTTCTGCTGGTGTTTCTGAGAATAAGGGTGGTCTCCCATGCTGGCAAATTGGACACCTAGGCTGTTTCCCATCCTGAAGAGGTAGATATTGGCTGCTTCTCTGTGTCTGTCCACACATCATACATCAGAAATGATTCAGGGATTCATTACCAGGGCCAAACAAAAAACATTGCCTTTTATTCTCAATTAATTAAACAATTAATTAGACAGGAACATATCAATTTCTGGCTGCTGAAGTCTTACAGTCCTGTGAAAATGACTCAGGATTACATCTGGATCTCTCTCTGCCTCAGCAAAACTTCAGGGAAGCCCCTTATAGGGCTAGTCACACACCAGTGCCTGGACTTAGGGACCTGAAGAGGGACAACCAGTGAACAGGCAACAACGAACCAAGAAAGGGCAATTATCCTGGGTTAATCTGGCTGTGCCAGTAGGACTGAGTCCTATCTGAGACCCAAGACTTGTTACGCACTGTGCTGCAGCGTCTCCCGCTTATTCCCCAGTTCCCTCAAGACTGGTACCCCTGACACCCAACCTAGGCCAGCCCAGATCCAGGGGAACAACCCTTACCAGGTCTACAAGGTGCTAAACTGTTAAACTAATGAATAAATAAAAATTATTCTGCTACTCTGCCTGAGCATCAGATGAGTGGCAAAGCTTCAGGCATAAGAAATAAGCCTCAAGCAGAAGAAAAAAGAGTTAAACAAACAGACTTTTGACAGAGTAATTATCCCATACTTTAGCAGCAGTCAGAAAGCCAACCACCCACCTAAGAAGAGCAGCAGCCATCCTGACTGCGCCCTTCATTGGCCGTGGGTGGCAAATGTCTTGAACCATGGCCATGGGCAACCTCCTGCTCTGCTTGGGCTGGGAGGAGAACCTGCCTGCCTGTGCAACAAGAAACATGGGTAAAAATAAAACTATGCATGACCAGTGAGATTGGCCTGGAATGGGATTTAGCTCTAAAATTCAAACCAGTGTGCCAAAGCCCACTCCTGCTAATGACAAAGGAAAAGGAGTTACTGAATGACAGAAGTAACCAAGCGTTTGAAGAACAGTTTAGCCCCTGCAGAATGAAATCACTGAAGGAATTTGCAATGCTTCCCAGTCTAGTTACTGAATTACTAAGCCAGTTTCTCCAACTACTTTCAAAGCAAAATTATAATCAACCGTAGGATCTGGTATTGTAAGTACTCAAGAATGAGCTTTTACAAAATAGAAGCTAAAAGATTTACAGATCTGTTTCACATCTGTGGTGCAGATTGAATCAGCTTCT